AAAGGAAATATTAACAAGACTGCTGTGTAATAATATTAAGATACCTGATACGTTTCCCTCTGTCCCTTTTTCTTGTTGTCCCAATATTTCATTGCATTTGCAAATGGTTTCAGAAAGGGAAACAACATCGTAAGACAGGCATAGGAGGGCAATCCAGTGTAGAAACACACGGACTTGTTGCTTTTTAGGACGTCGTCTATAAACATTTCTCTCTTCAGTTCTGGTTTATTTTCCAGTTTAGCTTTGGCTGCTTCCATGCAGTCGATATCTTCACAGGTAAGGTCGGTTTGGATACACTTGTCTGCAAGGGATCTTGAATCAGGTGTCTGTTCAGTTTTAATCTCACACTCTTCAGAAAAAATAAAATCCATGTCGCTCGAGCACGCAGTTTCCTGCAGTTGTGATGACAGGCCCAATGGTTCCGGGTTTTCCTTGTTTTTGTCAGTTTTACCTGCTTGTCTCCTTGGTGCAGTCTTGGTTTTGTTTTGTATGCAGCTCAAAGCTCCTCGTCTCCTTTCCTCTGGATCTGTTCGCTTCCGTCGGGTTTTGGGCTGCAAATGAGTCGGGAAACTGAAAATTGTTGGGACAGGATTAAGCTTTGAGGGTCCTAAACCACCTTCGAAGTGTGCTGAACAAATTCTTGTATGTCTTGTGACATTTAAACTGCTTAAACGACAAGCAGCTATCCACCTTTTTCTTCTCTCGTTTTCATTCATTCCGGGTGCGTAAGTCTTCTTTCGGTCGCCGATAGGAAAAGTGTGAAACGTTATTCCTTTGAGTTCTGGATATTTCAGATGGTTTTTTTGTTTTTCAGTGCTGTTGGAGCAGCCATATGCACAGCAGTTATGTTTAACCATGATTTTGCCGTCAAATACTGCGAACCAAAGTGACTTTCTCCGTATTTTTCCAGCTGTGTCAAAGGGTATTTTTAATTTTCCCCCGCATGAGCCTCGCTTTCGCGCGAAACAAAACACTCGTCCCAGACCAGTCCGGGAATACGAATAAGGCCTAT